GAGGGATGGACACTGGGAAGAGGTAACTATGGGGAGGAAGTGGGAGGGGAGCTGTTGCATTGTGGTAAATTGTGGTCAGTGTCATGAGACAAAGTGTATGTGAACTGCTGTATGGAAAGTGAATTTGCTCTGTAGATCTTCACCCAAATCACAATTAAAAAAAGAAAAAAGAAAAAAAAAAAGAAGTTGCCATACCAATTTCCACAGTGGTTTTATCATTTCACAGTCCCACCAGTACTTTATAAGAGTCCCAATCTCTCTACATCCTTGCCAGCATTTGTTATTTTCTGCCTTGTTGAACTTTGCTATTGATGCTGAGGTGAGATGGTGTCTCATGTTAGTTTTTAATTTGGGTCTCTCTAATAATGATCACAAACATTCCTTCATGTGTTTGTTGACTGGCTGAGTATCTTCTTTGGTGAAGTGTCTGTTCATACCTTCTGCCCGTTTTTTACTTGGGTTATTTGCCTTTTTGATGTTGAGGTGTTAGAGTTTTCTATAAATTTTAGAGATAAGTCCTTTGTCTACTATGTCATTGACAAATCTTTTTTCCCATTCTGTAGGTTCTATTTTTAAACTTTGGAGAAGTCTTTTGATGCACATAAGAATTTAATTTTTAGAAGATCCCAATCATCTAGTTTCTCTTCTGCTATTTGTGTATCTTGGGTTGTGCTTCATAGTCTATTTATGCCATAAATTAGGACCCCAATGTTTGCCCCTATTTTTCCTTTGATGAACTTTATAGTTTTAGATTTCATATTTAAGTCTTTGATCCATCTGGAGTTTTTGTGTATGGTGTGAGTTATGGATTTGTTACATTTTTCTGCAAATAGATATCCAGTTTTGCCAGCACCATTTGTGAAAGAGACTATCTTTTCCCCATTTAATAGATTTTGGCCCTTTCTCAAAGATCACCTGACCACAGGTCAATGGATCAAGTTCTGGGTTCTCAATTCTACTCCACTGGTCTATGTGTCTGTATGAGTAACAGGCTGTTTTGACAACTGTGGCTGTGTAGCAGGTTTGAGATCTGGGAGTGTGAAGCCTCCTACTTAGTTCTTCAGTAATGTTTTGCTTATCTGAGGTCTCTTTCCTTTCCATATAAAATTAGTGATTAGCTTTTCCATGTCTTTAAAGAATGTTAATGGACTCTGGATCAGGATTGCATTGAATGTATAAATTGCTTTTGGTAGTATTGACATTTTCACAATGTTCAGTCTTCCTATCCATGAGCATGGTGTATGTTCTTCCAGTTATGTAGATCTCTTATACTTTCTTGAAATAGTCTTTTGTAGTTTTCTTTGTAGAGGTCTTTTGTGTTCCTGGTAAGATTCATTCCCAACTACCTTATATTTGTAGTAGCTTTTGTAAATGTTACCAATTTTCTTATGTCCTTTTCAAAGACCTCTTTGCTGGTATAGAGGAATCCAACTGAGTTTTGCATGTTGATCTTATATACTGTCACTATGCTAAATCTTTCAGTAAGTTCCAGTAGTTTTCTTGCTGAGTCTCTTGGGTTTTCTATATATAGGATTATATCATCTGCAAATAGGGATAGTTCTACTTCTTCCTTACCAATTTGTATGCCTTTGATTTCCTTTTCTTGCCTTATTGTCCTGGCTAGGACTTCCAATATAATGTTGAATAGAATAATGTTCCAATATAATGTGGAGATATAAGGCATCCTGGTCCTGTGTGCAAGGGGAATGGTTTCAGTCTCTCTCCATTGAGAATAGTGTTGACTATTGGTTTTGCATATATGCCCTTTATTATGTTGAGGAATTTCCCTTCTATTCCTATTTTTCTGAGAGTTTTTGATCAGGAATGGACATTGGATTTTATTGAATGCCTTTTCTGCATCTAATGTATGATCATGTGCTTCTTTTCCTTTATTTTACTTATGTGATGGATTACTTCATTATTTTCCTAATGTTGAACCATCCTTGAATACCTGGTATGCATCCCTCTTGACCTTGAATGTGTTATTTTTTTTTGATATGTTGTTGGAGTCTATTGGCTAGGATTTTGTTGAAGATTTTTGCATCTGTATATGTGACAGATACTGGTCTATAGTTTTCTTTCTAGTAGTCTCTTTGCCTGGTTTTGTTATCAGGGTTATGCTTGCTTCCTAAAATGAATTTGGGAAGATTCCATCCTTTTCTGTGTTCTGGGATAGTTTGAAGAGGATTGGTGTCAGTTGTTCTCTGGATGATTGGTAGAATTCTCTAGTGAAACCATCTGGACCAGGACTTTTTTTTTATTGTTTTATGACCTGTTTAGTTTCTTCTTTTGTTATAGGTCTTTTCAAGTTTTCTACCTCAGTCTGTGTTAGTTTAGGCAAGTAGTGTGTTTCTAGAAATCTATCCATTTCTTTTAGGTTTTCAAATTTATTGAAATACAGTTCTTTATAATATCCTGATATTGTTCTTTTTGTTTCTGCTGGTTCTGTTGTGACATCACCCCTTTCACTTCTTATTCATGTTATTTGCATCTTCTCTTTCTTTTCCTTTGTTAAGTTGCCAGTGGTTTATTGATTTTATTAATCTTTTCAAAGAACTTCTAGTCTTGTTGATTTTTTC